AAACTTGAAAGGAAACTTATGCGTGAGAGACATAATGACAAGTACCGCTGCAGAAAAGGCTAGGGTGTTGGACGTCAAGAAAACGTAATAGGCTGATGAGTCAGATGCACAGATAGCAGTGCCTGCTTTATGATCCTCAGTATCCTGCGCTACACCGACAGGGGGGTTAGCAGTGCTCGCTGTATGGATCTCCTTGTTGTCCTGCCATACGCCGCCGGGGGGGTTAACCCCAGCTTGGAAGGTCACGGCAGCTATAAGGGTCGCAACTACCAAGAGTGCGTTTGCGGGCGTCGGCTCTTGTTCTTCTCCTTGTCTCCTCTTTTTCACTTTCGTTGTACTGAAATAACGACACAGTCCCTGAAGTAGTCCCAACCATTGTTTTCTCTTGGGTTTTGAACTACAGGATTCAAGAATTGAAGAAGCTTTTTGTTATGGGGATATGAAGAAAAACAAAGTAGTAGATGGATTCTCCAGAAAAGCTTGTGGTTAGGCTGAGTCTTAATTCAGCTTTTTAGTTCGCACATATCATCACGCGTGACAAATATGAAGAAAATTCACTGTTCTTTTTCTATATTTGCATGATTGTTTGGACAAAATGAACAGTAGATTGCTACTCATCTTTGGGCATTGATTAATTACTTAATAAGTTAGTTTTTTTCAACCTTGTCAATGTTGTTAATTAGGCAAAAAACCTGATAGGAACTTCCACTTCCACTGCCAAGATAGTCTGTATGATTTGTATTTCTCATTTAACGGCATTATTTCCTTTTGGTTAATGTACGGAAGAAGATTACATAATCTTGCATTTCGAGTTTATATAATTATATATGATATTTTATAAGTTTTACTATCTAAAATTTCAGTAACACTGTATACTGAATACCAATATTAAAGGGTTATTTATAACATACGTACAAAAATAAATTAAGTAGGTATATGATATTTGGGTAAGTAAGTATCTAATCATTATTTTACGTAATAAAGTATCTAATATTCAATAATTTTATTTAGTCATGATTTTCATATAAGTTATTGATAAAGCATGTTCATGGTGACTAATAATATATGAAAATAAAGAAAATAATCATTCATCGTTTCAAAGTTACTAAAAAAAAATAAAAGTTACAAAAAATAATCTATATTTTAAAGTTAATTTCTTACTTACCAAAATTATTTTAAAAGTTACAGAAACACATATTACTAAATTTTTACATGATGTTATTAACACACAACATATTATAAGCAAGGTAGATTGAAAGTAGTGGCAGGATGGTAGCAGTCACTTTTAGTTTTTAATTTTTATTCTGAATTAAATTATTAACTTTATTTATAATTTTATAGAATTAATTGTTAATTATTTTTTAAATAAAATCCTAAATCCGTTATCAATTATAAATTTAATAAATCTCATGTAATTCATGTCAATTATTGCTAGCGTGCATGCGAATAGTGGAGATCTGGATTACCTTGACTTAAAACGCATAGTCATCCATAATCCATAAGACGAGACAAAAACCTTTTTGGAGTCATTGTTTCATCATAAGGACCAGCTGTGCGTTGTCCGCCTTTGATTTGCCGGGGCCTTTTTCAATTTGTTTCCATTGATGACGTGTTTGAGCTTACGTCAAGCATATGACTTCTCTTTCGAGGGCTTCATCTTATGTCGTCATTGCATTGAATGATGAGTTTTCTTATGGAAGCCGGGACTGTGCTCATTGACTGACGTGTCTTTTCTTACCGTCCAGGTTGTCATTTGATTTAGTTTTAGTGGTTGCTTTAACAATATAGTTCATTTGGCTGTCAAAAGGTGTCCTCAATTATGTCTTGCTTTTTGGAAAAAAGAAATGAAATCTACCGTGATTTACTAGAATAGGCGTATTTTAATATATTATATTAGTCTTTATGTGAGTTTAAAATACGATTTTATCATTATTTGTTCAATTCTTGTTAGAAAATAAGATTGAAAAATAAAAAATATTTAAAAAAAAGTATATGTATCATGAAAGTTCCAATCATATAATTAACTAGATATAGATTTCTTTTAATAATAATGATCGTTTTATTCATAATTAAAAGTAACATGAGTACCGATTTAAGTTTACTGTCTTGAATAAATCAACTATAAATCTTTATGGTATTATAGTTACATTTCAACATCAACATCAATTGCAATAAAAAACTCAAGTAATCTCAATAACAGGATACAGAAGATTCATACAGAGAAGAACAACACTTACTTGATTAAGAACGAAATAAACTTCTAAGTTTTAAAAATAAAGAACAAGTTATTATATATGTTGGCAAGAGAACAATTACTAGAGGAGTAAAATTCTAAGGTACTGAATCAATTCATGGTACAAAGAAGAGCCAAATTCTGAATTTCCGTTGATTTCCGTTCGACTCTAATGCTTTCTCCTTGTATCTGGACCAACTCTCCATTTCTTGAACAACCATATGGTAAACCGTGCAAACTCCGCAAGAAATAGAATTCCCATCACAGTGACCGTCATATATATATCACTCATTTTCGTTGGACCTGTATAGATTATAGCTACGACATAAGTACCAATCATTGAAAACATGGCCAGCCGGAAGCCTGCCTTGAGAGGGAATCCACTGGTGAGGAGAAAGATCATGGCAACTGATGCAATGAAACCAATTGAATTAAAACCAATGAACACAGAAAATATCGGAGGGTTTATACACATGATAGTCCCTCCAGGCGTCATGGTTCTAGATCTCTTCTGAACGACGTGGGTGCTGACCGTCGTAGAATTTTTACTCTCTGCTGACCAAAAACCACTTGGTGGGCTCAGAATTGCTTGGTATGTGATCGTTACTATCAGGACTGCCACAACCATCAGTGCATTTTGAGTATCAGTTGATGATTCCGTAGCCTCTTTCATCAGTTGCTTCCATAGGTTCCATGAACAAGAAGATTGCAATATTTTCTTGTTGTTAAAGCTTTCTGCTTCAGTTTGGATACCAGCAGGGCCTGTTGTGATTTCTTGGGCTTTCACAGCTCCAGCTTGCTGAAACATCTGATAAATATGAATATCATACTAATCACCTCCACTTTGGAGCAGAAGATCTAGGACATCCTTCGGCGTAAAGCCGCTTGTGGTCATGGCATTTACGTTAACCCTGGAAACCACTGCTTCTTGACCAATTAACAGACCTATAATCTGCAAATGATACATATCCATATTTTACAACTTCTGTAAAGGATTCAATGTGGAATTAAACATAACTTTCTAGAAAATATCGACAACGCAATCAGTACAATCTATTCTTCATTAGAATTTAGAGTAGCCTCGGAATTAAAGAGAATTTAATTAGAATAACAGGCTTTGGACTCCCGCATGACCAAAACCAGGATTTAGTAGCGCATCTACTTCTACTTATTTGACATCTTTCCGCAACCAGAACGCTGTGGAAGAAATGTAGTTCGGTATTTATTACATTTCCAATTAAATAATGATTTGCATAAGTTTATTGATAATTAAAGTTAAATTTCATTTGTGGAGAAAGTAACAAAGGATTTTTAATTATAACTTTGATTTACAAGTTAATAAATAATCATAATTTTATTAATTAATTTAATTAATTAAATTAATTTATCCTTAATTACATGAAATTAAAAAAATAATTAGGTTTCAAATCTCACAACTTCCCTTTAGATTTATATATTATAAATGTATACAAACAATGATATATATATATTGTAATTAATAATTTTATAAGTTATAATTTTTATGATGTTAACACAAAATAGGAAGTAAACATGTTTATATTTAAAGTACATATACATATATATATTAAAAGTATTTTAATATATATAATAATAATTATATTCCTTATAAATGAACTTAATATATATAAAGTATATATATTAAAAGACATTACATGTTAATTAATAATTATTATTTCATGAAATAATTTAATTAACTATATAAGTTTATCTTTAATTACAAAAAATTAAAAAAAAATAACTAGGTTTCAAAACTCTTTTAATTTCACAATCTCTTTAGGTTTATGTATTATAAGTATATATAAATAAATGTATATATATTATAATTAATAATTTTATAAATTATATATTTTTTAATGTTAACACAAAATAGAAAGTAAATATGATTGTATTTAAAATATGAATATTAAAATATTTTAGTATATATATAATAGTAATTATGTTTCTTATAAATTAACATAATATATAAACTATAGATATTAAAAGATATTACAAGTTAATTAATAATCACAGTTTCATAAATTTATTTAATTAATTATATGAATTTGTCTTTAATTTCATGAAATTAAAAAAAATTAAATTCTAAAACTATTCTAATCTCAAGAGCTCTCTTTAAGTATATATATTATAAGTTTATATAAACAATAGTATATATATTATAATTAATAATTTTATAAGTTATAATTTTTATAATGTTAACACAAAATAAAAAGTAAATATATTTATATTAAAAATATATATATAATAGTAATTATATTCCTTTATAATATGATATTCATATTATTTGAATATAATAAATAATTTAATAATTTTTTAATTAAAATATATTAATGTCATCACATTAATAATTACAGTAATCATATTTTTTATATATTTGTTAATTTTTAATAAAAAATTATTTATAAAATTAGTAAAAATTGTATATTTTTAATTTAATTATTAAAATAATAAAAAAATATTTTATAAATGATAATTGAGTTCGGGTAACGGGTATTTAAGGGATGGTACTTGAACCATATGCAAATCTGATAGGATAATAAAATCATTATCTGAATTCGTCTCAAATCTTATTATATTATAAAATATTCTAATCTTACATAAACGGGTCGAGTATTTATAAATACCTTATAACAGGATGCCCGTTACTATCTCTAATTGAAATCAAATCCTGATTTCAATACCTTAAAGCAACCAAAATGACAAAAAGCTAATATCGCATTACAAAAGAAGGAACAATAAAGTAAAAAAAAAGACCGATAAGGCTTTAAAAACAAGTACCATTGTCGATCAATGGTACATTACGGTCTGGCTATCAAAAGTCTCATTGTGGATCAATTTCTGAAATTTCTTTTAGTTCATGATTGTGCTTTTTTTAGTGGTCAGGAAAATTTCTAAATACCCTGTAGCATCTGATAATACATGTGAATATACTGCTGGAACCCCAAACCTTGGAATATATCAGATAAAAACTAGCATTAAAAGTCTGAAAGTGGGAGTTACCTTTTCATTGATGCCCCTTTTTTCCTCCCGATTCTGTTAAGGGTGATACTTTTGGTTGATACCTGCTCTTATCCACCCTAAGATTCTCACAGAAACTTTTCATTTTTCTTTTGGGTTGCCACTAAAAGTGCAGAGGTGACGATTGAGTTCATAATTGGACAGCACTTGGGGCTAGAACGAAGAATGAAAACATTGAGTGGCGCGTAGAGCCCCTGGCCTGGGATGTAGTGATGCTTACAAAGTAGGTGAGTTGACAACACTAAGTTGTACACAAAGAAATGTTGTTTTTTTGCTCGTGGTTCATTTGGGTACAGAGATGGGTCAGAACAAATTGCTCTATTTGACAGTTGTCTTTATTCTTTTGGACGGGGACATGGAACATGTGCATGCAGTCACAGGCAATTACTGATCTGCTGGAGAGAAGAATTGATCCTGCAAATTTTTAGCATAGATGTTTACAAAGATTGCTAATAATCCGTACAGATTGACCTATTAGTCTGGCAAATTTCTCTGTAAATTAATATAAAGTTTTCATAGGATAAGATGATGAAAATAAAATAATCTGATACAAGTATGCAATCCAAAGAAGCCCCAGAAAATGTCAACCTTTGGATGCTATCCATAAATGGAACAAAAAACTTAGCAAACTATTCAACCTTGACATGAATCTGTGATCTGCAAACCTATGTTAGCTTGAAGATTCATGGGAAATAGACAGGTTTCTTCTCCCTCAATTCGTTCCATTTTGCAATATGCGTTGTCTTATGGCCTGCTTGTCTACAGCATGTCCAGATTTGAAGCTGAGTTCAGTGCAATTGCAGACCCAGAGATGAATCCTTTTCCATTTATGGAGTTTAGGGAATTCCATCGGTGTAGAAAAGATGCTATGTTGTCAATTGACCTTGATGAATTATGGCTTGACCGACATAAATCAAACTTTGGAGAATGATTAGAAACAGATGATCATATACCCTTTAATTTTTTTTAAAAAAAATATAAAGACAAATTAATTATTCCTTCAATTATATGACAAAAAGGAATATTGTTATCATAGAAAAAGCTGTGCTACCTATTCTTCTATGACTAAAATTGCTGTGACAATTCGTAAGCAAACTTCAATAATTGACGCATCTATTTTTTATTTAAAAAAATGAATTCAAATTTTTTTAAACAATAAAAAAATTATAAAGGCATTTAAATCTCTATCTATGGAACATTTGAATCAAACTCTAGATTAAACAAAATACAATAATTATTATTATCAAAATAAATCAAAACTTGATGGATTCACGAGATGTGAAACAAACACATACTTTATTTATACATGAGACATACAAAAATACACACTTTATTTACTTATTATACAAACTTAATTTTACATTACTCAGGAAGACAAACTCACACGTACTAGTATTAATTTGGTACAAAACTATTTTTAATTATTTATTTTTCCAAGATTTTTTTCCTATTTTTAATCTTATCATGAGAAATTAACGGGCAAATCTTGGATACATACCCTATGTCCACTTCCCGTAAATATATATAAAGAGCTTGAGTTCTAAGTTGTTCAGGCTCCCAACTTCTAGGAGTTGAGACTGAAAGCCGTCTACCTAAAGTTGTGCTTGCGGGGTCTGATCTTTCGGGGTCTCTGCTGTCTTGTTTCTAGGCCTGGAAATGCCTGGATCAAACATGGAGGCTCAGGTTCCCTGTTTTTCAACTTCACCAACAGCTGGATCAAGCACGCATAGCTAAAGGCGCTGCTGCTGTAATCAAGGCGAGTTGAAACGTTTCCTCATGGGGAGTAACAGCAAAGATCGCAGATCCATAAGTTATAATCATTGAAACGCAAGCAACCCTTACTTCAAACTTGAAAGGAAACTTATGCGTGAGAGACATAATAACAAGGACCGCTGCAGAAAAGGCTAGGGTGTTGGAAGTCAAGAAAACGTAGTAGGCTGATGATTCAGATGCACAGATAGCAGTGCCTGCTGGTTTGCCATTCTTGGTTTCCTGCCATACACCGCCAGGGGGTTAATCCCAGCTTGGAAGGTCACGGCAGCTATAAGGGTCGCAACTACCAAGAGAGCGTTGCGGGCGTCGGCTCTGTTCTTCTCCTTGTCCTCCTCTTCTTCACTTTCGTTGTACTGAAAATAACGACACCAGTCCCTGAAAGTAGTCCCAACCATTGTTTTCTCTTGGGTTTTGAACTACAGGATTCAAGAATTGAAGAAGCTTTTTGTTTATGGGGATATGAAGAAAAACAAAGTAGTAGATGGATTTCTCCAGAAAAGCTTGTGGTTAGGCTGAGTCTTAATTCAGCTTTTTATAGTTCGCAACAATATCAATCGCGTGACAAATATGAAGAAAATTCACTGTTCTTTTTCTATATTTGCATGATTATGTTTGGACAAAATGAACAGTAGATTGCTATCTCATCTTTGGGCATTGATTAATTACTTAATAAGTTAGTTTTTTTCAACCTTGTCAATGTTGTTAATTAGGACAAAAACCTGATAGGAACTTCCACTTCCACTGCCAAGATATGTCTGTATGATTTGTATTTCTCAATTTAACGGCATTATTTTCCTTTTTGGTTAATGTACGGAAGAAGATTACATAATCTTGCATTTCGAGTTTATATAATTATATATTTGATATTTTAATAAGTTTTACTATCTAAAATTTCAGTAACACTGTATTACTGAATACCCATAATTAAAGGGTTATTTATAACATACGTACAAAAATAAATTAAGTAGGTATATGATATTTGGGTAAGTAAGTATCTAA